ATGCTGGCTTTTGTGATTTTCGCAAATGCGAAGATGAGACTCGCAATTGCGAGTTCGCAAATGCGAACACTGAATCGCAATTGCGAAGCTGGGGATTTTTGCATGGGATCGCAAATGCGATCCATTTGTTCGCAAATGCGAACCAGGGGATTTCCGGGCACTGTCGCAAATGCGATGGCTTGGCTCGCAAATGCGAGGGGTGGCCAATCGCAAATGCGATCATTTTCTCGCAAATGCGAAGACTAGCCATTTGGTAAAGTTTCGCAAATGCGATCCTCAGCTTCGCATTTCCCAAAGTAGCAGACCCGGGTTCGCAATTGCGAACCCTAGTTCGCAATTCCCACATCCGAGGCCCAGCAAATTTTATACTTAGTCGAATTTTCACCACTTTTCACCATTCTTTCAAAACCCAAACACCATAGGCGATTTTTCAAGAGCAAACTTCATCCCAAATCATTTGTAAGTTGATTTTTACTCAATTCTTTCAACTTTTAACATCATTAAACATGTTTTCCACTTGAAATCAAGGATTTTCATGGGTGAAATTGGGGTTTTTGGGTAGAACCTAGGTTTTCTATAAATTGGGAAGTTGGACCTCGAATTGAGGTCCGATTTCAAAATAATTTATATATTTAAACTCGTGGGGGAATGGGTAACCAGATTTTGGTTCGAACCTCGAGTTTTGACCACGGGGGCCCGGGGGCGTTTTGGGAAATTTTGAGTAAAACTTTGGGAAAATCGTTTTTATGCATTCAAACTAATCCATATAGTGTTTGCTAAAGTAATTGAGCAATTTGTGATTAGATTCGAGCGAATTGGAGGTGGAACCGCGAGGTAAAGCAATAGTTGAGGATTAAGTGGATTTCAAGGCTTTGAGGTAAGTGTTTGGTTTAACCCTAGCTTGAGGGAATAGGAGTTGAGTCTTGTTGCTAATTGCTATGTGATCGAGTACGATGTATAGGCATGGTGACGAGTATCTATACATTGGTGTCTAGCATGACCGTGAGTCTTTATAATGTAATTATCGTGACTTGGTTGTGAACTCCGGGTTTATTGGAGGATTTCTATATGTTGTGAATAACTTGTGAACGGTAATATGATCACTTGATTCCTGGGAGCATCGGCTCGAATTGTGATACGAATATTGAAAGTATACGAAATGACTTGATTCTTTGGAGCGTTGGCTCAAAATAGTAAAGTGAATTATAAGATAAGGAAAGTAAGAAAGAGAAAGCGTTGTTGATTATTCCCTTGTCGGGACGTTTGGTTGAACTAGTTGGACTCTTTCCCTTGCCGGGATGGTTGTCAAATATTTGCTTATTTTATGCCCCTTGATTGTGACTGTTGTTTGGGAAGTCAGACTGTTAAATGATATTGAGGATCGGGTTGCGCGCCGCAACAATGATGTTGAGGATCGGGTTGCGCGCCGCAACAATAATATATGAGGATCGGGTTGCGCGCCGCAACAATGATATATGATAAGTGATATGGGTCGGGTTGCACGCCGCAACAATGATATTGTGGAGCGGGTTGCACGCCGCAACAATGGTAATTATGGAGCGGGTTGCACGCCGCAACAATTATTGAGGCTATGTGTTTACATTTGAGTATTGATTCCTTGTTCACTGTGAACCTAAGTTACTTTAGTTGTTACTCTGGATTATTGTTATTATTGTAACTCCCCATAGCATGTTTCCCCTCCCATGTTGGTAATCGCTTTGTATTCGATTTCCGCTGTATACCTATAACTGCACAGGTTTATGTGGTGTCCAGTCTAGCCTCGTCACTACTTCGCCGGGGTTAGGCTAGACACTTACCAGCACATGGGGTCGGTTGTGCTAATGCTACACTTCTGTGCATTTTTGCACAGGTCCAGGTTTTGAGGAACAGCAGCAGCAGTAGTTCGGAAGCAGGCGATTCATATTCACGAGACTGAGGTAGCCTTGCAGGCGTCCGCAGGCCCGGCGTCTCTTCTCATTGTTTTCTTTTAGACTGTTGCCTCCTTGTTTCGAGACAGACAACTGTTATGTTTCTTTCAGACCTTTGTATTTAGTTTATTCTTAGTGGTTCGTGAGTAATGTGGCACCAAATCTTGGGTAGAGGTTGTTTTTGACTATTCCGCGTTTTAAATTCACCATTTTTAAGACAGACTTCCGCTATTGTTCTTATTAGACTTATGTTCTATATTGATGTTATAAACTGTTAAAGATAATTGCTAGTGATGGAAAGGTAATTTAGTTGGCTTGCCTAGCTACCACGAGTAGGCGCCATCACGACTCTGATGGTGGGAAATCCGGGTCGTGACAGACGCCATGTGAAAGACAATCCAGAATCCTCTTATAAAGTTTTCTTGAAGAAGAAATATGATGGCATTTGACTATATTTGCAATATATCGAGTAACGAGATGAATTGGAATTTGAAGGTACGAATAGTGAGATTGTGGTACGTTCCAGACCGCGACAAACCAGACAACACCGTCTCCCTTGAATTAATTATTCAAGATGAAAAGGTCCATTCTTTTTTAGTTGCGCTTATTTTTTCATAAAAATTTGACTACAAAACTTTACGATTGATTATTTGCTTGACTCTATATTAATATGAATTTTTTGATTCTAGGGAGATCGTATTCATGCGACTGTTGGTCGGTCACTTATACGTATGTTCAAACCAAAGATAAAAGAATTGGGTTTGTACGTTATGAAGAACTTTGTGGTTGGACCAAATTATACAAAACTTAAATACACTCGGCATAAATTGAAGTTGACATTTACTCATAAGACGATTGTACAGGAAGCAAATGATCATCTTTTTGGTATGACTATCTTCGACTTAAAACCTTATGAGTATTTGATAAACAAAATTGATGTTGAAGAAAGTGAACTCTTCGGTAAGTATTCAATTCGCAGTTCTTTTATTTTAATGTCTTATCAACTTTCTCATGATTATTTTTTAAAATTATTATATATGTCATTGGAGAGGTTGTAAGTTATGGTGAGGTAGAATCCCATAACCAAGGTGATAAAACCGGCAATTATATGAATGTGGAACTTGAAGATCATGAGTAAGATTGCGTCTTTGAATTTACTTTGTTATATATTTTTACCTGATTATTTATCGTTGTCTGATTAAGTTTTTATATATTAACATGATTACTTATCGTTGTCTTATTAAGTTGTTATATAAATTACACAGGAGGAATAATATCTCGGCAACATTTTGGGGAGAATTCGTTGATCAAATCTTGCAACATTTACAGGGATCACCCCTTCAGCCGGTCATAATTGTTATGCAGTTGATAAAAGCTCACAAATTTCAAGGTATTTCTATTGTCTTGATGACATGGGATAATTTTTTTATGTTTATTTTTTTGTTCAGAAACTAAATATATAGATAGGTAAATATTCTGTGCGTAATACTTGGCATGCCTCAAAGCTCTGGATTAACCCGGATCTTCCTCAAGCTATTGATTTTAAGTCCAGGTTAGTTATTTCATAAATTAAGTTTATGTGGATGTCACACCTCCTTTTTTACACACCTATCCCGAAGGGTAATGTATAAGGGAGTTTTTCCATTTAAAGTGATATTATTCGAAATGGGATTATTTATTTATTTTTAGAGTCGCCACTTGGGATAGGGTTGGCTTTTGGTGTCCCAAGTCACCGGTTTAATTTGAATCCCAAATCGAGGAAAAATTTCGATTTCCCAATTGGAGTCTGCGAACCAGAAATTCTGAATAAGGAATTCTGTTGACCCGAGGGAAGGTGTTAGGCACCCCCGGATCCCGTGGTTCTAGCATGGTCGCTTAAATTATTACAATTGGCTAAAAATCTGATTTTAATACATGTTTTAACCTATGTGCTTTTAACTTTAAACCGCTTTTATTATTATTTTTAAAGAGAATTACAACATCGTGAAAACACGTCTCGAACCACGTCACATAAATGCACCCGTGGATTTTGACACATTTCTACTTCGTTGGGATTTGGATTTGGGTAACATAAATGTGCACCCGAGTTTAAGAAAGCGATACTATTAAATGCCGGGCCTAAAGCGACTAACGCGTTATTATCTTTGAGGAGGGCCGTGAAATTCGCTAAACGGCCCGTCCCGAATTCTAAGTATTTTAATAGACATTTAGAGAAGGCCCCGCAATTTATGCGTTGTGTTTGGCGAGGCTCATCTTGTTTTATTATTTTAAAAGGGCAAACCTAAAGCAACTACGATTTTCTATTCAATTTGTTTTTAATAATAAAAGAAAAGGCCCTAATTAATTAGCTAATTATAATCCATGCCTCAATATCGGTACAAAAAGGAGCCAATGGGAAGAAAATAGCACTTAATATACCCAGCACTTGGATTTATTCAAACGAGCTGGGAGGCCCAAATGTGTGTTTCAATGTTTTGGTCATGGCCCCCAACGTGCGGGCTTGTAATTGGCCCAACAGCACGTAGACTAATTGATTCTGCACAGTTTTACACTGTATTATACCTCCAATTATACAGGTCACTTTTACACTTAACACTGATTTTACTTCCGATCCTTGTATTAGTCAATTCAGAACATAGTTGAGATTGGCAACTCTAACAAATTTTACATAGCTTAACTTCTAGGTCGATCATGCTGCACATGGATTTCAGAATTTCAAACCTCTTACACATTCATTTATTTATATGCTGATGAAGTGAAGACCTGGATATCTAAAATGAGCAGGCCAATGATACTACATGTGAAAATCAAACCAGAAACATGGATTGAATTTAACAACAATAGTCATGAATGTGAACCTATACACGAACAGGTTAACTGCCTAGATTCAAAACAGCCCAATTATTTTTGGATTTGAAGAACTGGAATACTGAAGTTAGCTACTGAAACACAAAACCATTTTAAACCTGTTTTTTATAACTACTGAAAAATAAATCTGACGTTCAACTCATAATACGAATCCAAAAAGTAATAATTATACAGTCCAATTAGTACAACAACAAGCAAAGGTCTAAATTGCATCATTGAATTAAATGCTTGAGTACACAAATCAGGAACTGAATTAAATCAAATCTCATGCTTCAGTTATCGTATAGATTCATTCTTCATGTTTCAGCACACACTTATCAAAGTTATAGCTGTGTACCTGAAAATTGGAATAAAAATGAAGAAATAGGCAGTCAGCTCAGACAATGGCAGGCAGCAGCTCACAACCAAGGCAGCAGAATCAAATATAATTCCCAGAAAATACCACAGCAACCCAGAAACAGTTTGTAGAAGAGTAAACACCAGCAAACGAACAAAATCAGATGAGATTGGACCAAAATACACTCGAAATCAACCAGAATTCCTCGAACTTGAACCAGATGGGATCTAGAAGACACTCAAACCATTTTAAACCTTCTGTTAAGCCGAAAACTTGATCTACAACTGAAATTCAAACTTAAACTCCTAAAAGAGTTCGAATGGAACAGTATTTTGGATTTTTATTCTTTTGTATTTTTTTTTGGTTTTGTATTTTTCTTTCTATTGAGATGCACTGAGATCTAAAAGAGCTTTGAATTTTGAATTCAAATTTCAGATAAGCTGAAATTGCAGAGACTATTTTTGGGGGAATTTTTTAGGTGTTCAAAAGTTTGGGGAATTCTCAGGTGTGTAAATTTTGAGAATTTTTCAGATGTTCCAAACTTGTTTATCAAGGCACTAGGCCTCCCTTTTATAGGCAAGAATAGGGGCAGAAGGTTCTGGAAATTTTTACTCATTTTCCCCCTTTTTATTTCCAGAAATTGCTCATTAGTTCTAAAGTTTTGACTTGTTTCTCAAGTCACTGCACTAAACTACTGAAATTTACACTAAAGCCATATTCTAGAAGAGTCTAGGGTGTTCCTAATCTGTTACTACAAGATTCTTTCTCTTTGAAGTGTCCAAATTACCCGTGAACTAAGTCTAAAGTTACTACTCTATACTTACTAACCCTAGTCCTCTTAGGCTTGGTCAAATGACCATGGTTAATTACTCACCAATGCTGGAAATTTTCAGCTATATCCAAACAACTCTTAGAAATCCTAACAATTAAACTAATCAGCCTAATTAATCAAAACTAGACTTTAAACCTAATGGACACTAATATCCTAAGGTTAAGAACAATGAATTACAATTAACTAACACATAAAAATTGAAACTAACGTAGAAGTTACAAAAATGTGAATCAAAATGAATCGACATTAATTCTAAGAACACTGGAAAGATAAACAGAAAAAGTTAAACTAACTAATCATTAAAAGTGAAAATCAAAGAACAGGAACTAAACACTGTATTGACTAACAGAAAAATCACAACAAAACAAAAATTAAACTAAAAATAACACAAAACAGAATCAACAAACGAAAAAAAAAATAATCAAATAAGAAGGAAAAACTTACTGATTTAACCCTAGCTGAATTGACTTTGAATTTGGCCCCAAAAAATAATATTATATGTTTGTTCTTTGCCAAAACAAACACATAATATCTTTTTTGGAACCATTTGAATACTGATAACCTTCGAGTCTTCGACTCAGACTTGGACTCAAACCCTTGATTTAGGATTCGACTAATTTCAACTAGCCTTGAAGGAATCCGGCTTAGGGTTTGGGAAGAGGGGGGTTAAGGTGAGTCTAGGGTGTAGGTTTAGTTGGGTTTGGAGGCGATGCCGCCACCAGAGAACAAAGGCGGCGGCTAGGGTTTTGAAATTTTGAGGACTTCCAGTGGGATTTGAGTGGGACAATGAAGGGATCGTGATGAGGAGGAAGAGATGAGGCCTTGGTGTAAATTTGGAGGCCATTTGATGAGTTAGGGTTTTGGGTCAGGATCTTTTATTCAAGATTCGAAGGAATTGGTGGAGATTCGAGGGACATGGAGTGTAGATTCGGAAAGAGGAGAAGGAAAGGAACAAGGGGTGTAATTTTGGTCGGAAATGGAGGCCGGCCGCCGCCGTGAGGCGATTTCCGGCGGCGGAGGAGGGCAGCATTATGCTTCAGTTTTAGAGAGTGGGAGAGACGACCTTGGGGGGGGGGGAGGGGTAATCCGACATATATATATTAAAAAACCTAGGCAGTTCTCAATCGTTAGATCAAAAGAACCAACGACTGAGATTAGATTTAAACCAAACTACGTCGTTTTGCTAAAAGGGGGGGGGGGGAGGGGGCAGGACCGGGTATATGGTATTTTGGGCTTGGACTGTGGGTTTGTGAAGAGGTTTTGAGATTGGGCTGGTGAATTATTTAATCACTGGCCCAATGCCGGCCAGTCTATTTTTCTCCTTTTTTTTGATTTTTGTTAAATACAAAATAAAAAATAAAAAGACCTGATTTAATTCTAAAACTAAACTACTTAATTTTCAAGAATTAACTAACTCCTAATTTCAACTAAACCTAAGACAAATTTGAAAATTAAAAGTAAGAATACAAAAGGAACCATTTTTTTGTTATTTTCTTTCATTTTTTGTAATGTTAATAAACTAATAGAACTAAAAAAATATAAAATTGTGTCCTAAATGCAAATGTACTATTTTATGAATTATGCCAACTAAAAATGCACACAAAATGCAAACAAGCACAAAAATCATGCAATTAATTCCCTAAAATTCAAATAATCAAAAAAAGTCCTAATTTTAAGAATTCTATAGGAATAATTCAAGCGAGGCAAAAATCACGTGCTCACAGTGGATACTACACAAACAACTGTTTATGGTTAAAACTAATACAAGCTTGCGTAAAATACAGAATGGCAAGTGTGAATGAAGCTAACTCTGCCAGGATCAGTCAAATACCTTCTCAGCGTAGTTATTCTGTTTCTGACGAGTTGGCTACTGGAACTGTAGAAGTTAAAACTATTAGCTAATTGGTCGACTGCATGGAGGTGACTAATGTATTAAACTCCTTTAGTATTTAACTAATGTTATGTTGTGTATGTATATCACTGTTAGGTCTAAAAATACTATTTGTTTTCCTAAATATGCACATATATGTTTTTTAGAATACCTGTTACGTAAGTTTATGAGCATTTCACAATCTGAAACTTCACTAATAGAAAGAAGAAAGTCAGCAGAAATTCAGCAAGCAGCAGGGCATGTTAACGTAAAGAACTTCAGCAAGCAGCAGGGCACGAAAATTCACACTTTCTTATCTTTTGTTGGGTAATAACATCTGAAATCTTCCCCTTAAGACTTAGAGCCCAAGCACCAGCTGTTGGTGCAGTGGAACTCAAAGTTAGTAGTGATGTGGTTGCAATTTCTTTCCTCTCTGTTTAATATCTATGCTTGGTTACTTATATTTTTGGTTTTGGGACATAAATGGAATTTTCACAGCTTATGCTCTTGGCATTTATATATAGATTACAACAATCAAATTTGCTACAACTTGACTTCTTTTCAGGAAGGACATATTTGGATTGTTGCGACTGTAGTGAATCTTCTACTTGAAAAAGAATGGTCATATTTGGGGTGCAAGAGATGCTCGAAGAAGGTTGACAAAATTGGAAGTAAATTTCACTGCAAGAAATGTGATCGCCTTGATAGTTCTATCACTCATAGGTTTGATAAGCTTCACTATTTACTGTGAAATAGAACTAAAGTTGCAAGTTACAAAAATAAGGACCAATTTTACAATAAACTATTAAATGAAACTAAAGTTTCAATTTCTTATTTTAAACGTCTCTTTCAGGTACAAGCTTCGAGTGCAAGTGATGGATCACACTGGCTTTATATCTTTGTTGCTTTTGGATCGTGAAGCAACAAGTCTCATTGGGAAGTCTGCTAATGAGTTAAATGAAATTTCAATTGAGGTATATTTTATTTATTTTAATTGTTACTATATTTTACCAATAAAAGGTAAGAAAGGTAATTCTTTGTGTTTTGCCATTTCTAACACTAATTCGGTCTTAGGCTTCTGCTGTTGTTGATGAGTGTTCTTATCCAGTGGAGTTGTATGATATTCTTGACAAAAAAGTCCTGTTTAAAGTGACTGTCAAGAGCTCCAACATTAAAGTGCATGCGGAAGTTTATAATGTTGTTAAAATCAGCGAGGACGATAACCTTATACAGCAATATAGTCAATCTGCACAAGATGATACATTCACTGTATGTGATCGATACTCAAATACTTCATAATACACTAGTTNCCCCGATGACCTCGGCCGGAAGATGACCCACGATACTCAGAGCGAGCTGACTGAGGAGGCCTAAATGAACGACCTCTGCTCTGTTGGAACTATCCCCTAGCCGGAGCACCACTGAAGCTACCAGAACCCCGAGGCCTCTTGGCCTCCCTCTCCTCTCTGTCCTGACGGCGAGCCATCTCAATATCACGAGCAATATCAACTGCATCCTCAAAGGAAATACCCAAAACTCTCTCTCGAGTCATCAAAACACGGAGGTGATAGTTAAGTCCATCTACAAACCTCTTGATCCTCTCTCTGTCGGTCGGAACTATCTAGGAGGCATGACGGGCCAACTCAGAAAATCTCGCCTCATACTGGGTCACAGTCATGTCTCCCTGTCGAAGCCACTCAAACTGCCTGCACAGCTCCTCTCTCTCAGAGTGTGGTACCCACTTCTCCAAAAAGATAGTGGAGAACTCCTGCCATGACAAAGGCGCTGCACCTGCCGGCCTACGCCGCTCATTCGACTCCCACCATGTGAAAGCAGCCCCAGTGAACTGAAATGCGGTGAATGCTACCCCGCTGGTCTCCAAAATCCATGCTGTCTGAAGCATACGCTGACACTTGTCTAGAAATCCCTGGGCATCCTCGCCCTAAGCACCACTGAAAAATGGAGGCTGGAGCCTACTGAACCTCTCAAGACGACGCTGCTCATCGTCTAGCATAACTGGGACTACAAAGTCCTGAACTGGTGCGACTGGTGCAACTGGTGCTGCTGGTGCAACCGGCTGAGCTGGAGCTGCTCCCGGTGTCTGTAAACCCTGCATAACCTGCTCCGGTGTGTGAGCGACGGGGGTCTGACTGCCTCCCCCGGCCTGAGAGGTAGCCGCTGTAGCAGTGGCTGAAACTACCTGGGCTAGGCCAGTGCAAACTGATAGTATCTGAGACAAGGTCTCCTAGAGACCTAGAATCACAATGGGCACTGCCGGTGCCTGCACAGGTGCTGCTGGAATGTCTGCAGCTGGGGCCTGATCCCGAGCCGGGGCAACTGGTGGGGCAATGGGTGCTGTCCTCGCGGCTCTGCCCCTACCGCGACCACGACCGCGCCCGCGGCCTCTAGTACCCTCAGTAAGTGGTACCGGTGGGCGTCCGCCTCATCCTGTAGCGCGGGTCCTCGCCATCTGCGAGAGAATAGAACACAAAAGCTTAGTTCCCATATCAACAAAATCGCACGACAAGAATTTCAAGAATGTGAAGTTTTCCTAAGGGTTCTGCAGCCTCTCGAGGATAAGTACAGACGTCTCCGTACCGATCCGCGAGGCTCTACTAAACCTGCTCATGACTCATGAGACCTAGTAACCTAGGCTCTGATACCAACTTGTCACGACCCAATTCCCACCGGTCGTGATGGCGCCTCTCGTGAAGACAAGGCCAGCCAACAGAACAATCAACACTGCTTTTTACAATTTCTTAGCATAACAGATTTAAACCATAGATACTGATTAATCGTAAGTACGAAAATAAACGTAACATAACGGGAAAAAACCATCCCAAACTCAGCCCGACGATCGGGGTATCACAAGTCACGAGCTACTACAGAGTTGATGAAAACACTACAAGCATGGAAACATAGTCTGAAGATGAATAAAATATACAGAAGATAAGGAAGAAACGGGGCTGTGCACGTCGACAGCTACCTCGTCTCTCCTAGTCCGCCTGGTCTGGAAGGAAATCAGCGCTCAGGTACGAACTCAGCTGTGCCTGTCTCTGCACACATGGTGCAGGAAGTAATGTGAGTACTCCGACCCCAGTGAGTAATAAAATTAAATAACGACTGAGAACATAAAATCCCACAAGGGCACAAATAATGCTATCTCAAGCAGCAACATCAGATAAACAGTAGAAACCAGCGAAATATAGGAAGAAAATCTCTTTGAAAACAATTAATAAAACAAGTATGCTCAAGTATGGTCAGCCATTGTTACCTGACCGGTCAGCCATTGTTACCTGACCAAACGCGTATTACAGTGCCATTGTTACCACTGGTCAGTCATTGTTACCTGACTGGTCAGTCATTGTTACCTGACCAAACGCGTATAACAGTGTCATTGTTACCACTGTTCAACATTTAATCACTCTAGATGGGTACCCGCGCTCACTGTGGGTGTGCAGACTCCGGAGGGGCTCCTACAGCCCAAGCGCTATCAACAAGGCCTGAAAGCCTGAACAGTATCAATACGAGGCCTGAAAGCCTCCTCACCTCACTCATCATGCCCTCACATAAGGCCCTCGGCCTCAATCAGTCCAGAAATAGTCAACAGCCCCTCGGGCAACAGTAAAGCAATAATACTCAGCTCAAACAATAGTTCAAATATCAGTTTAAAACTCCAAGTTTGAGTAAATATGGCTGAGTTCAAGAAAACGGTGTAAATCACATGGACTGAGTTCAAATAATATTTCAAACAGTGAGGAAAACAGTGATGATAGATCATAAAGAGTTCAAACAGTCGGCAATAAGCCCCAAATATGGCAATAAGCCCAAATCATAGTGAAAACAACAAGTCATTGCTAATACGCGGTAAAATATCATCCGGACTGGACCAAGTCACAGTCCCCAATAGTAAATGACCCCGCGCTCGTCACGGAACGCGTGTCTCATCTCAATATAGCACCAAGCTGTGCAAATCTGGGGTTTTCAAACCCTCAGAACATCATTTAAAATCATTACTCACCTCTAGCCGGTCAAAGTCTAGCTCGCTATGCCTTTTCCCCTCGAATCGACCTCCTCGCGCGTCGAATCTGATCAAAACCACAAGGAATACATCACAATAGGCTAATGGGTCATAACCCAATCGAAAAGACTCGAAAAATATCAAAAATCACGAAGTTGGCAAAATCCGAGCCCCGGGCCCACTTCTCGAAAAATTACGAAATTCACATCTCCGGATTCCTCGTCTCGCCACGAGTCTATACATATCAAAATCATCAAAATCGAGGTCCATTTGACCCCTCAAATCCCTATTTTAAACTCTCTTAAATTCAAGCCCTAAACCACCATTTTTGACCTTGATTCCTTGATTATTCAGTCCAAATTCATGTTTATACACCATAAAATCAAGCTCTAAGTCCAAGAGTTCATACCTGATAATAGCCCTCGAATCCCTCTTCAAAATCGCCTCAAAGCTCTCAAGGTTCGGAGTCCAAAATGCTACTCTTTCAAAAATTCGCGAGGAAGATGTTTTCACTTAACCTGCCAGTTATTTCCGCTTCTGCGGATTAATTCCCGCTTTTGCGCCTTCCGCTTATGCGGTCAACGTCCGCTCCTGCGGACCTTTCACTTAAGGCGACTTTCCGCTTCTGCGGTCCAACTTCGCATCTGCGGGACCGCTTAAGCGACCCAATGTCCCGCTTCTGCGGAACCTGACCTGGGCTCCTATTTCCGCTCCTGCGAGGCCTAGCTCGCTTCTGCGAGACCGCATCTGCGATTTCCTTTCCGCAGATGCGGAAACACCTGCTGCAACCAAAAACCTGCAATTTTCCAACTTCAAATTCCTTCCGTTAGCCACCCGAAATCACCCCGAGGCCCCCGGGACCTCAACCAAGGTTACCAACACATCTTAAAACGTTATTCAAACTTGTTCCAATCCTCAAAACACGTCAAACAACGCTAAAACCATTAAATCACATCGAATTCAAGCCTAAGTTTATTCAAAACTTCCGCAATACGCATTCGATCAAAAACCC